GAGAGAGAGTATAGGGAGTACGACATCAGGCGTGATACCCCAGTCAGGCCGATCGAGTTTCCAGCTGAATATCAGACGGACGTGCGAGATGTACGCGCGAGTCAATGGTCAATCAGGTGTCATTATCACATCGCGCGGAATTGATGTTATCCATCAAGGATGTCGAGCAAAAACGGGACGAGATCTCATGCCGCATCGAGTCAAGCCGCACTCGACAACAATGACAAAAAGGCACCGTCGACGGAAGTCATCATCCCGGATTGGATGTCGCGCACTCAAACAACGAGAAGCCGAAGAAGAAGCCAATCGTATCATGACGGAGCAAATGATGAATGCAAACAATACAACCAATAGATTAGTCCTATTCGTATTAACAGCAATCCACGACACCAACACACAAACACAACAAAGTCAACACAAGGCACAACCCGTCAAACGCCGCAAACAACAGTTGACGAACATGAACTCTACGAAGCACAACAATTGATCCGATCCGGCGTCTTGCCCGTCGAAGAGTATCCCACGTACGATGCGCGGCCGGTGGAATGTTGGCCATGGAAGAAACCGAAGAAGAAACACAGGTCGAATTGGCCGAATACGAACCCGCATTCCTCAAGGGACAAACACGACGATCGGGCAGTCGCGTGATTTGGAACCGTCAAAATTGTCAAGAATCCAGATGGATCGCTCAGTCGCGCGTCCATGCACACGTCAGTTGGCAGGAACGAAGAACTCAAACACACGCAGCCAATCAGCTGATTGAAGCATCCAAGATGTCTCAATCGGCCGTGGGAGGATCCCGTGCCGGAAGCGGGAGAACGACGGTTTGCGCAGGAACTTCGATCCATCAACTTGAGTAGTTTTGAAAAGGGAGATGCTCCGCAGTGGAAACAAAAGGCGGAAAACAAAACGCTCAGTTACGGTATCATTTCCAACAAATCACTCAAGGCACAACGAGAGAGTTTGCCCATTTACAAACTCAAGGCGGAATTGATGGCAGCCATGATGAGCAATCAGGTGCTCGTCGTCATTGGAGAAACGGGAAGTGGAAAGACGACTCAAATGACACAGTACATGGTGGAATTGGGATTGACATCTGTAAATGGTCAAAAGGGGATGATTGGATGTACACAGCCTCGTCGTGTGGCGGCTGTTTCGGTGGCCAAACGTGTCGCGAAGAGTTTGGTGTGCGCTGGGAGAACAGGTGGGTTACTCGATTCGATTTGAAGATGTACGTCACCCGATACCATTATCAAGTACATGACAGATGGGATGCTTATGCGAGAGTACCTGGCCGACAATGATCTCAAACGATACTCGGTATTAATGCTGGATGAAGCCCACGAGCGAACAATACACACGGACGTGCTCTTTGGGCTGCTCCATGATCTTTGCCGCCGAAGACCGGATCTCAAAATCATTGTTACTTCCGCAACACTTGATGCTGAAAAGTTCTCGAGCTACTTTTTTGATTGTCCCATCTTTACCATTCCCGGACGAACTTTTCCCGTGGAGATTCTCTACACCAAAGAACCCGAACCAGATTACTTGGACGCGGCCATGATTACGGTTATGCAAATCCACTTGTCCGAACCAGCTGGTGACGTTTTGGTGTTTTTGACTGGGCAGGAAGAAATTGATACGTGTTGCGAAACGCTCTTCACTCGCATGGAGGCACTGGGAGATTTGGCCCCCGAGTTGATCATTCTACCAGTCTACTCCTCGCTGCCGTCGGAAATCCAATCGCGCATCTTCGAGCCAGCACCGACAGGGTCACGCAAATGTGTAGTCGCCACCAACATTGCGGAAGCATCGTTGACCATTGATGGAGTCTATTACGTGGTGGATCCGGGATTCTCCAAGCAAAAGGCGTTCAATCCCAAGTTGGGAATGGATTCGTTGGTTGTAACACCCATCAGTCAAGCCTCCGCGAGACAGCGTGCTGGGCGTGCAGGAAGGACAGGACCGGGCAAATGCTACCGATTGTACACGGAGCAAGCCTTCAAAACGGAAATGCTGCCCACCAACGTGCCGGAGATTCAGCGAACAAACCTGGGAAATGTTGTTCTTCAGTTGAAAGCAATGGGCATCAACGACCTACTGGGCTTCAACTTTATGGATCCGCCGCCAGTGGCGACGCTGGTGGGTGCCTTGGAGAACTTGCATGCCTTGGGGGCACTGGACGAGGAAGGCTTACTATCGCGGTTAGGTCGGAAGATGGCAGAGTTTCCTCTCGAGCCCAGCTTGTCGAAAATGTTGATTCTCTCTGTGGATCTAGGTTGTTCGGAAGAGATCTTGACGATCACGGCAATGCTCTCTGTGGAAAACCCGTTTTACAGACCACGCGACAAACAGGCACAAGCCGACATGAAGAAGGCCAAGTTTCATCAAGCTGAAGGGGATCATATTACACTCTTGACGGTGTACAAGGCATGGGAGGCCGCCAAGTTTTCTTCGCCGTGGTGCTTCGAGAACTTTATACAGGCTCGGAGCATGCGACGTGCACAAGATGTTCGAAAACAGTTGGTGACTATCATGGATCGCTATCGTTTGTTGTTGCTGAGTGCTGGGAAGAATTACAAGATCATCTGCAAGGCTATCACCGCAGGATTCTTCACCAATGCAGCAAAGAAAGACCCACAGGAAGGATACCGCACTCTTGTGGATCAGAACCCAGTCTACATCCATCCATCTTCGGCAGTCTTCAACAAGAATCCTGAATACGTAATCTATCATGAACTGGTGCTGACGACGAAGGAGTACATGCGAAACATCATGGTGATCGATCCCAAATGGTTGACAGAATTGGCGCCGGCATTCTATCAAAAGGCCGACCCCAACAAGATGACCAAGCAGAAGCGACGAGAAAAGATTGAACCTCTGCACGACAGGTTCAATCCCAAGGATTCCTGGCGTCTTTCAAAGCGAAAGGGATGAGCTTTGCAAACATCTGAAATTCCATTTTTGCATCATTGCTTGTGCATTTCGTTCTGTACGAAGTTCTGCTTTGCCATTGAATTCCTCTGCATGTTGATCTACCTTGCACTGGATCCGTATCAGATTGATTCTCGTCATCGTATTAGTAGTCTCATGATTTCCTGAGCCAGCATCGACCACCCTAGTTCATCGTACGGTTCGCTACTGCAGATTAAGATATAGTAATACAAAAGTCTAGAAGTCATGTTACTAAAAGCCGAGGAAGATTGTCCTTGTTGCCCGCAACGCTTTGTCTAGTCAGAAACACGGGAGATGGATTCGACCCACGCTACCAATCTAAAAAGCGGCTTTTCGTGCGGTTTTCGCCCCGATGATGAATCGGACTCCTTGCGTTTGCGAAGCTGTGTTGCCTGCTATGCCATCTTCCTGTCTATCTCCTTGTCCGGCTCGAGGTGGCTGACTGAGCGGTAGAATGTTCCATGATGGAGGAGTGGACTGGACGCCCATTCATCACTCGTCCTTTTCTTCTTCCCCAGCCTCTGCGTTGTTTTCTCCGCTTTCTGCGTTGTTTTCTTCTGGATCCCCGTTGCTTTCTCCACTTTCCTCGTTGTCCTTTTCCTCCGAGGCCGTTGTCATGAGGGACTCGTCGGGATATCCATAACCAAACAACTCCATCATGTCCCTATTCAGATACTGCTGGGCGTATTGCAGATCGTGTGGTGTCATGCCTTTGAACCGCGTGGCACTGTGTCCATACTTGATCAATGCATCGAGGTACCCTGTGTGTTCTTCTCCCTCTTCCATGTACTTGGTCGAATGTTTGGATTTGGCCGACTGGGCGACCACCTGCACCGTGGCATTGTCGCCCCGCAAGAGTCGTCCTCCGGCACAGGCACAAATCTGCGGCACGACTTGATCGGGAAAGAATAGCAAATCCTCCATGCGCACAATAACGTGTGGATAATCTGGCAAATCCAAGTATTCTTGGTACCATTCATTCCAATGATGGGCCAATGACCGATAAAATCGAGTAAAGTTGGAGTATTTGATACTGACGGGGAAATGATGGAGATTCCGCTCTTCTTCGCTGAGCAAAGAGGTATCCGGCTCGGCTTCGACGATTTCGGGAATTGTTTCTCCGTCATCATTCCCGTCTGTGTCAGCCTCGGCGGCCGGGTCCTCATAAAATTTATTGCCATTGGCGTCTGGAACACCACCAGGCAGAGTGCCATCTTTGGCTCGGATCCCAATATAGAGTAGCCGTTCCAGTGCCAGGTTTCGTTTCACCCTATTGTTGGGAATTTCGGGAACGATGGGTTCTCCTTCTACCAGCGGTTCTTGGTTGAGCGCGGCCAATTTGGCCTTTTCATCGGCCGTGGGAAAGAGATTGGGACAATGATAGCGTGGGTCGGTGCGTGGAAACACCCGAGGCCATCGAGTGGTGTAGTGATGAGAGCACATGCTTTGCAGCCACCGAAAGGGATCTCGAATCATGACCACCGGCAGTACTTCAGAAGCATCCACTCCACTGCTTTTTTGCGCCACATGATTGTTTCGAAATTCTTCATTTTGAGGAGGTGTGTGTTTCCCATAGGGCACTTGCCATCGAATTCCTCGTTGTTTGATCCCGAACTTTTCTTGTCGTTTGTGCAAGACGCAATTGCGCGTCAATAGTTTGGCTAGAAAATTGGTTCCACTGTTGAATGTTCCTGCGACGCCAATGTACTTGTCCCCCAAATCGCCCATGGATCGAAAGGCGGCGCACTGGTCCGTGTCTACGAGCCGAGGATGATCTCCGTACATGCCCTTGACATCGGCAAATGTGGGTAGTTCCTTGTAGGTTGTTTCGGAAATATACTGAATGCCAGCATTTTGTCGAATCAGTTTCAAGATTGGTTCCTTGTCGTGTCCTTTTTGTTTGGAGAGTGCCATGAAGTATCGAATGGGACGGACATCTCCCTTTTGAGCTTCCTTGGCATGAATGTCATTGCGACCATCCAACACGGCATTGGCTCTGGCGAGTATTTCACTGCGACGTTGGGCGCTTTGGACTCCTCTCAATTCGACGTTATAATTCTTTCGACCGGGCCAAATTCCATCTCCTTGCTGCTGCTGCTGCTGATTGTGGTGGTTGAAGTCTTGACGAGCCCCCTCTGCATGTTCCTGTCTCTTGCGTTGGTTCACTACTTGTGATAGTCTGGATTTGAGCATTTCTCGATGATCGTTATGTTTGCTGTCACCCAATAATTCTAATTGTGGCTCCTTTTCCTCGTGTGCTTTTCCAAAAATCCATTTCGATTGAGATCCTCCAAAATTAAACGTAAAGGACATTCCACTGGGAAGCGTTCCTTGATGCCTGAGACTGTATATGCAATTCATTACAGCAATAAACAGAGCAATGCCACCAATCACCCGCAGCAGCCGTCTGTGAAGAGGAATCTTATTTCTGGAGGAGGATGAAGTGTTTTTACCCCGCTTCTTTAGTAGTTTGGACTTGGACATTGTTTTGCCAGAGGAACCATTGCTGCAGACCGCGGAGGCCGGTTGCTGCATTATTGTCCGCTGCATGATCGACATTGTTTCTAAAAGCTGTGAGAAGAAACCAATCGCTCCAAACCCAATACGGTACGATACCAGGTAACGCAAAGGCACTGGAGATTGAATTGATGAATGAGACACTTGTTTTGCTTGGCTTTTCTTTCGGAAGACAAGGAAAGCACATTTTTCGTTGGCCTAACTCTTTGGAGAAAATAGATTTTTTTCGCCTAAGTCGCCCATCGGCATGCTGCCGACGTGCTCCCGCCACAGAATGAGCCAACCTAGCGGTACACAGGTTATCCTCTTGGTCTCTACTCCACCAGGGTTTTGTTAGCATCCACCGGTCCCTCTGTAGCCCTTCTGTGTAAAAGATTCAATGAACTAAGAATAGTTGTTCTAGCTAGATTCCAGGCTATAAAACTTATAATAATAGATAGCAAGCTATCGATTATCTTCTTTTTAACAGAGGTCTACACGAGTTTATGATTACATAATTAGCAGCTTCCAAACTCAGACCACTTGATGTTTGTTGCTTTGCATTCCTTCCACTGCCCGGTTGCACCAAACTATACATTCTTCTCCCTTTTGGTATCGCTGTCGGTGCAGCCATTTCCTTTCTTTTGATCTTATTAACCAATGAATCTTTATACCGCAACAACCAACAGTGCCACGGCCACAGTCCACATATTATTATTTTTCTGAAGAGCCACACCAGCTGAAACAGCATCGGGAGCAGGAGTACCAGGATTCTCATAGCAAAAAATAGGATCGGCTCCACTGCATCCAAAGGTACCTGTTTCACCATCGTCTTGGCAACCCACCAAAGAGCCCCCCGAGCAAAAGTAAGAACATTCACATTTGACACTAATGGTCTCCTTGTATTGATTGCATTGTTCTGTGTTCGTCTCGATACCACCCGCAGAACAAGTGAACCCTTCCGTCTCCAAAGACATGGGAGGATCCGTTTCCGGAATGGCATTGCCACTGGCCGTGGTTTCCGCTGCAGTGGGGGCAGCCGTCGCCTTTTGATCCTCTGTACAACCTTCCACATGTTCCCCTGTACAACTAAAGGAGGTGGGGTCTCCAAACTCCAAGCAGCCAATCACTTTCCCATCGCAAAAGTTGTAGCAATCACATTCTGCCGTGATATTAACGAGTAGCTGAGCACACTTTTCGTCCGTGTTGTTTGTTGCCCGGGCGCATGTGTTGGAATCCGTTTCGGCTGGCGGGGGAGCTGTAGTGGGGGAAGCCGTCGATTCCGTCTCGACGACAGTTTCGGCTGGATCCGAGGGAGCTGTAGTGACCTCTGGCGCTACCTCGGTCACCACCGCTTCGGTGGGAGCTGGAGTCACCACTGCTTCGGTGGGAGCTGGAGTCACAACAGCGGCGACTGGGACTTCGGTGGGTGCCAAGGTAGCATCGGCAGGAGCATCAGTAACCACAGCAGGTTCGGGTATCATGCCTTCATCCGGCACTTCTTCTGAGGGTCCCACTGTGGCCTCGTCCAGAATGTCATTAACCTCGTCAACAATTTCATCAACATCATCCAGCTCTGGAGCGGTAACGTTGTCTTGACCCAGAACATTTGCCAACAGGCATGTCACAAGGAGGAACGAAAAAGCAAACTTCATTGTCACAAAATTACTTTATCAACTCCGTCCAAAATGATGAGAGAGCAAACTTCAAAACCTGAGTTTCAATTTTTCGGCCTTCTCGAGTTTTGGCGCGAAGTGAGCGGGGGTCTCATCCGTGTTCCCAAGAATTAAGGATTCTCGAAAATCTTCCCTAGCAAACATAATTTGAATTTTTGGTGGTGTCAGCTCCAGCTTCTTGAAGACAGGTACCGGGATCCATACAATGTCATGTACTAGCTAGTATTGATGTTCCGAGCTCGGGGTTCCGTCCTATCAGGTCTTAGGCGAGCCATGGGACGGAACAGTGAGCGCAATGATCTACTGGATCTATTTTGGGCGAAGGGAACGAAGCAAGCATGCCGACAAGCATCAAGCCCTCTTTGCGGAGCGGCGGAGGTTGGCTCTGCAGGACTTCGAAAGCTAGACCAACCGCTACAGCACAAGGAAGCTCCTCCACAACTTGGAGCGAGCCGAACGGTATGGTGGGCAACCCGTGGAGTCGCAATTCTTAGGTCCTTTCTTTGAAGCACGAAGTTTGCTTTTAAAGCTTAACAGCAGCAGCAGCAGCTATGACGGAGTCTTCAAGAAAGCAGCGCCAATGCCTGATAGCGGTACCGTATACCGTATGTTAGCTAGCGGTAGGGCTGTTTGTTCCGTACGGTATGTATAAGTCACCAAACTGTACAATGTTATGCAATCAAACTGATATACGCCACTGATAACCTCATGGCCAGCCACATTCTTCGGGGCCATCTCTAAGTACATGCACTACATGTATGCTCTCCACAACTACACATCGAACAACCAATTCAGTATTCTATGACGGATCGAATGCATCGGATGCTGGGCATACCGTATCCAGGCTGGGAGGATCGTGATCATAAAAATGATGACGGTATCGCTGCTACTGCAGCTACCACAGCGCCCCACCACAGGGATGACGATAACAATCGGGTGCCCCGAGGAGCCGACGATGCAGTCTTTTGATCCGCTGTACAACCTGCCACAGTTTCCCCTGCACAACTAAATGAGCTTTGTTCTCCAAATTCCAAGCAACCAATGAGTTGCCCAGAGCAAAAGTTGTAGCAATCACAAACTGCATTGGTAAACTTGAGTAATTGACCACACACCGGGTCAGTGTTGAGAAGTGTCGCAGCACATGTATTGGGATCAGACGTGGGCGATGGCTCAATTACTGTAATGTCGCCCACGCCTACCTGAACGGTTGGACTTGCAGTACCTTCACCAGGGCTCGTAGCGGGTACTGGTACTCCCGTGGTTCCATCTGCTGTGCTAGCAGCCGTGGCGCCCGGAGTAGCACCGGGAGTGGCTACTGCAGTCGCTGCGGGGGTTGCTGCAGGTGTGGCTCGAAGTGTTGGTTGAGCAGTGGCTTCTGGCGTTGCCCCTTGTGTAGGTGATAATGTAGTTGCCATGACTGTGGGTGCTTGGGTATCAGGAGAAATGGTTGGCGATATGGTTGGCGTGGCAGTCTCATCGGTTTCTAGAGTCACATTTCCCACGGCTACTTGAGCAAGATCGTCTACAACAGTTCCATTTGCCCCGAGGTCCACATCCACGTCTGTCACGGCCATGGTTTCAGCTGTTGTTACAGCAGTTGTTGCAGCTGGAGTCGCATCCGCGGTAACAGCCATAGTTGCTTCCTCGGTTGGTGCCACTGTTGTCATATCTGGTGCTTCTGCCATGTTGGCGTCCCCGTCTGGTGATGATTGTGTCATTGTTGCCATTTCCGTGGGAGCGACAGTGTCGATACCTTCGTCGGTGGCATTCGTAGCAGCACCATCAGCATCCATATCACTGGGAGCGTCAGTTTCCACTGCAACTGACACATCGCTACCGGCTTCGGTTGGTGCTTCTGTCGTGACAGCCATGGTACTTGCCACCACCGTCAGGTTGCCATCATCTTGGCATGATGCCAAGTTAGCAAGGATAACAAGAATTACTAGAGCCAGGAATCTCATGGTCGCCACCTCAATTATCTAGTAGTTAGTTGGTAAAATATTGGGAGAAAGAACCATCCAAAGACAACAACAACGCTGCCCCGACGAACCTTCGGCAATGAGTTGTCTCTTTCTTTGGCAGCAATACATTTTCGCATTGCAGAATTTGTCTTCCCACTCAACATGTTTGGTGAGACGATGGGGCACCTGTCACTTAACAAGGTTGGAGCGCGTATTACGAATGCTAAATCTTTTTCTCGCCTCTTTTGTCTTCCGAACACGATTCATGACTGAAAAAATATCAGCTATTCGATGATTCGATTCGATTCGATTCATCGTTCATTCGAATGATCGATTTTCGTTTGCGACCCTTCGTCTGTCAACCACTTTGCGAGCTTACCCCTGTGTTTCTTTGTATCCAGGACTGACGTGGTGTGACAACGTCTGATCTTCATCTTCATCGCTTGAGCATCCAGTCTCTGCGCTCTGGGCTGCATGAAAGCAACCGTGTTCCAACAATCATCGACGTCAAAACAGTGCATGCATATCTGGTTCCTTGTCCTCAACCAAGATCCTCGGCCCCAACAGCAGCACAGCGCTCGTTTGGCCATTCCAAATATTTATCATAATTGCAAAACGCGTCTAGCACAAACAACCAAAGGAAAATGACAACAGTGGAAGCACTAAAAACCTATTTTATGGAGTCTTCTCCGCACATGTGGACCCGAGATATTCGGGAACCGTCCTACACCTTTGAATTTCAGGGCCAAGAATGGGGACTCTATCTCACGAATGTGGTGGGATGGGTTGAGCTCCTGGCGGTATGTAAAACAACATAATGATGGCTTTGCCATGACGGAAAAGAAGTGTCTGTTTCTAACTATTTTAATAATGCCTCCTTGTCTTTTTCCCGCAGTTTTCCGCCCTGCAAGGCATGCTCGTGACTCTCCTTTCGGCATTTGTGTACAAGATGATTCTCCAAAAACAAGGAACTTGGATCGCTTATCTCTCCTGCTTCACGATTGCTATGCCTGCCCTCTACTTGATACCCCTGGGCATGTTCTACCTACTCAATATCCGCAACCAATTCTTTCGATTCTGCATCGGAACCATCATTCCAGTGACCTGCCTCTTCAAAACCACAACAACAGCATTTGGCTTTGCTCCCAAGTATGCCACCACCTCGCTCAAGGCCTTTGCGTTTTACTACTCTGTGCCCTTGCCTATGGAGCGGTCAGAAAAACTCGACAAATACGAACCCAATTCTGTGGCTGAAGTGGTCAACCAACTCACCGGTTTTGTTCAAATGTTCATTGCCATGGGATTTATGATTACATTTTATTCCTTGATCCCTGACATTATGCCACCAATGGGACTTGGAGAACCGCCTGCCGAGTACTACACCATTGCCGACATTTTTAAACCCAAATCTCAATTGCGCAACTTTCTCTATCTCTGGTTCATGTGTCCCCTTGTCACATCCTGTGGATATGGATTTATGGCGGCTCAAAATGTTGTGACTGGCGTCAAGGCTTGCTCTGTCATGGATAATCCCTTTTTCACAACACGCAGCTACACCATGTTTTGGGGAGGCAAATGGAACCTCATGATTCATCAGGTGCTCAAATCAGGTGTCTATCTGCCGGTTCGAAAGTACTTTCCCAAGCACATTGCCATGCTATCGACCTTTGCGGCCAGTGGCTTGTTTCATGAAGCCCTGCTATGGATGTTCATGTTGCCATTGGACGATTCAAATAAATGTTGGTCTGATCCAAATGCCAGACACACTACAGTCGACTGCTACCTGCCTCGACCCTTCACAACATCGCTATTCTTTCTGTGGCATGCTGGGGGCATTGCTGTAGAATATTCGCCTTTGGTCAAGCACGCGACCTTTTGGGACAGTATTCCAACTCCCATTTGCTCTGTTTTGCTCATTGCCAGCGGGTCTGTCCTTGCCCACTATTTTACAGAGCCCTACTGGAACTCGTTGTGTTTTGAAAACGCCATGGTCTTGTTTACCTTTGCCAAACCATTGTGAACAGCTGCTACGACTGCATAAGTAATTTGTCAAGTGGCACCGCTCAAGAAAATAACCGACCCGTGCAGCGAGATGTAGAGTCTATATTTTGTGTGCTGGGCAACAATCGGTGGCGATTACTACAATTCACTTACATAAATATATTAGCATTTGAAAATCAGTCCAGGACACCGCGTGTTTGTCTCGTGCTGTGTTCCGCCATGGGAGCCAGTGCACTGGTATCGTAGTTTTCCCTTCAGCCAGCCCACGCTCTGGTGGTTTCAGAGCAACACTCCAAGCCCGTGCCTGCTATGTTCCTGCTAGCCTCGGGTTTGGGAAGCAGCCAAGGCCGCAGTCATACAATGCCATGTACCGGTTTGATTGCAGAGCGACAACTGCATGTAACAGTTCTGAGAACACGGCATGACGAATGCAGGGCGGCAACAAGAGCAGCAATCTGCTTAGTTCTTGTACTAGCCGGGGCAACTACAAGCCTTTTTGTTTGGTACATTGCACAGATGATTCGATTAATCATTCAGTTTCTTTTGGTTGGCAAAAGGTGCAAGATCCCAAATCCGTTCATGGTGGCTGGTTGAGCAAGCAGAGATTTCTCTGCAGTCACAGACAGGTACCGCGGTGGTCTACTTTACGGAGGTGCTTTCCAAACCAAACGAGGAATCCGAGACTGCATCCCAAACGAAACAAGGAATCCGAGACAGTACCGGTGGTACCGTAGTACAGGAACCACAAGACACGTCAACAGCATTGCTTTTTGCAAAGCCAATGTATCTTCTTCCGTTGCGTCGTTGAGATGTGTGTGCTGTGTCGCCAAACTCACACTGCCTAGAAATTTTGAGCTGCACGCCAATGCCAAACGTTGCGGTACGGTACGTAACGGCAACAGATGGCACGGAAAGCAAACTTCAAGAGTTGCCAAGTGCCTATCCATTAGAAAGACACTTGGCTCCAACAATCAAGAGACACAAAGAGTCCACCGACAAACGAAGTGTGAAGTGCGGCAACTACTACTATACTACCAGCTAGCTACAGTATGAAGCGATCCAATCTTATAGCAAACGTCTTGTTCCTGCTCTTGTTGGCACCTGCCAACGCGTTCAATGTCGATACCACAGTCCTTACGTTAGTGGGTCTCTGTGGAGACAATAAGGTGGACGATCTCGGAGACAATGTTTTGGACGCAACAGCCAACACATTTCTGCCGGATTGGGATCCCAAAGACCCGTGGGGGTCTACTGCAAGCCTGTTGATTCCGTTATGGGACTGTGTTACCGACGAGAAGGGTCCTCCCAAAGTGCGGCAACTGGATGAGACGGCAAGGAAAACCCGAAAACTGAGAGGTGTCAAGGGACAAAGATCCGCATGACAAAAAAAGGCAAAAAGAAGGATCAAGAAGTATGGAGGCCAAACGATAAGATGCCAGAGCTCAAGGCAGTACTAGTATCAATCTTGGAGTCAGCCGAACGAAGTGGCCGCATCCCCAACGCTTTGGTTGCACTTCAACAACCCCCGCCCTATCTAGAATCTAGACCACGCATATCAGCTTAGACAACATGCACCATCATACTGCCACATGATCGTTGCAGTGCCCCAATCGCTCCGAACCGGTGCATCTTTCCTTCGTCTTTACCAGTAGCATCGTAGCATCACCTCTGTAAGGGCAGTTAGTCTAGCTAGTAGTTGAGACCACCCTGTTTCAAGCAGTCGGGATCGTTTCTGGTTTGTTTGATACGATCCGTGGCAATTCTGGTCGCAGGAAAAAACGTTTCTGTGTTCTGGTCATCACTGCATCGGACCGCCAGCTCCTTCACGTCTACCGTACTAGACCCTATTGCCAGTTGGAGCGCGTGGGGAGCCATCGAGGTGAAGCATCGCTTGGCCAAGCAGGCATTGAGAAACTGCAAGGCTGTGCCAGCTGCCAATCTGACGGTGCGATGCAACAGCTGCGCAACAAAGAAAGCTCCTTGGTTGAAGAAACGAAGAAACTACCGTGGCTGGAAGCTAGAAGAGCTCCAGTAGAAGCACCATGCCGCTGATTCAGCCGTTCATTGGCTATCAGAGTCATCAGACAGTCAGACAGCCGCCAGCACAGAGCAAGGAGCCACCACAACACGAGCCTCGGTTGAAGGTTGTGTTGGTTGTCGGCGTCATCCAAGTTTCCCAAACGAAGAAAGCTGCCACAAGGATGAAGCACGCGCACGCCATTGCATCTCGCACGGACGTTCATTTTTTCTACATAAACCATAAACCAGTAGGACCAGTGATAGGTACCGTAGGATTTTACACAGGTAATCTGGAAACCGATTTGAACGCCCAGGACGAACACCGTACCCCACGACCTCCATCCTAAGTAGTCCTTAAGTAATTATTTAGCCCCTATGTAATACATGTGAAACACTTTACACGCATGGCGGCCATGACTAAGATGTTTCCATACAGGAACACGTCTCCGCTGGTTTAGAGGCGAGATGGCACTTAAGGCGAGACTGGCCGGGTGAGAGCGGAAAGAACCAAATCCCCAGTAGGGATTGGTCCCTTTCTTACTTCTTCAGGGCTCGACTGCGCTTGGGAGCTCGCTTCCGCTCGGGAGTGGGCACAACAACCTTGGTATTGAAGTGGGCCAAGCTGTTGCTCTGGGGACGCATAGGATTTGGCACAATGTGCGTATCGAAGTACGCCAACCCAGAAGCCTGGGTTTCGGTCGAGGTGGCCTGCACCTCCGATCCCGCGGCCTGGATTTCAGGACCACAGGGTGGTTCCTCAACGCAGAGCTGCTGCTGCTGCGGGCCTTGTCCTCCGAAGTAGGGGGCGTGAGCAGCCATCACCTCTGCAAGAGGGAAGCCGTAAGAACGACGGGGGGTGGTCCTATCAGCACAGTGGTGAAAGTACAGTGGGGTTCCATGAAGATCGACAAAAATAGTACCGCAATCCCCACAGTCCGTCAACGCCTTGGCTGGGTCTTGGGGGTGCACAATGGCAATGTTTCCGATTCGGGAAAATGTTCCATTTCGCACCTCACTTGGATTAGACACTTTCGCAATGGCCCCACGGCGCTGAGCTCCGAAGCCAACGAGGGTGTCTCCAACAGCGGGGCGCGTGGGAGCGACCGCTGGATTGGGGAGGACCAGAGGGCCTTCAAGCATCAGTTCAGGAACCAACAAGAGAGGTTCCTCGATTTCGACAATTGAAGATTCGTCAGTCGCAATCTCAAAGATCAAAGAATCTGTTGCCAAGGACTTTGAAACAACAGTTCCAACCTCAAACATAGGGTACGAATACCCAGCGCTACCGGGCTCTTCCCCACATGGAAGAGGGCTCTGCTCCGTGTCGGCCTCCGCAAAGACAAAGATCGGACCACCCACATTGGCGAGATGCCCAACAGTGAGCCCGTAGAGTCGATCTCCGCTCTTAATGACGAAACTCAAGGTACAGCCGCCTCCATCTTGGTTCAAGACCCAATCGCCGCCCCGCAAGTAAGTGTCCGCCGCACCATTAACCTTCTTCAGCCCAGCAGTTACACGGGTTTCCCGGTCTGGTGACCACACTTCCTCCAAGGCAGCAGCGTCGAGAACTTGAGCACGGCCCCCAGAACCGGCAACGGCTTCAACCGCAGCTGGACCAGTTTGCTGAAGGTCACTACCGTCCTCCACACCCACAGGGGATGGAGCATCATTAGATGTCATGTGCTTCTTGCTTGATGGTTCCATCTTGATATCTGAAAGCAATCGTCGTGGCGGGATTCAATCGTGTACAGTCGACAAGATCCAAATCAATCGACGACAATGGCGAAACCCAATCGTATCGCTTCTCTTTATCAATCGCTTGCGATAACAGCGTTAGCAACTTGAAAGATCCGAAGGTCTTGTCCCAAAAGGTCCAAACAGCGAAAATAACCAACAACAGCGAAAAGATATCGTCGTCGTGGCACCGAAACTTTTTGCCGTGTCTCTTGAACCAAGAACCGTAGAGTCCGCGCTATAGCAGGGTTGTCGTAGTGTGTTGTGTAAAAAAAAAACAGACGAAGTTTGATGTTTGTTAATGAAGTTTTCAGATAGTCGGTCACGGCTTTTGGCCATTGCCGAGAATTTGTTAGTTCGCTCGGCACTGATGAACGGAATTTTTATGGGGGAGCGCAGGAGTTGTGAGGGTCTCATTCCCGCACCTAAGGACACTGAGACCCAGGAAAGCGCAGTTAAGTACACTCTCCTTTTCATTCACAGGACAATGACCGATTTGAACTGGACCCCACTGTGCATGTGGCGTCGTCAACCATGCAGGCGTGCGTTCAGCGTGGGAACAACCAAGCACGCCGAAATGGCGATTTTGCAGCCCCTAAGGCTCAGTTTCAACTACTTTTTTGCAATCGTAGAATGGGTCATTCGGAGGCCATTCCCATGAGGCCCCAAAAGGGATCACCCAAGCCGAGTTTCAACTAGTCAGTTGCCAAATCGGAAAATGTGACTCCCACCAGGTGCCACGTGCCAATGGAAATCCAATGATCTCCAATGCCATATCCAACACCAACGGCGTAATAATGAGGTTGATTGTTGTCAGCATCCTCATTGTCATAGAAGTCGATAACCAATTAGACCAAAGTGAGACAAGACAATGTTCCTCTGTTGCTTGATTCTTTTTGCCTCCCTCTTGCTACCTCTGGCTTCCGGAGGTAGGGACCATCCACTTCAGGAGCCAAGCAGCTTTGCTCAAGCCGCCGTGGCCTTGCTGTCGGTCTCTGATCCATCCTTGTTCGCAACAGGAGGGGATGGGGATGCTCGAGGAGGAGGCAGGCCTCATCAGAACAGGAAGAGGAAGTATGTGAATGACATCTTCAATGAATTGGGACCACATTATGTGAGGCGTGCTTACCGGATGGAACCTGCTTCCTTCTGGAAGCTTGTTCGCTTGTTGAAGCCATTCCTTGAACCAAGCAAGAAGAGAAAGTCATGGAAGAGTGGTGCCAAGAACGGCCTGATTCCATTGCCGAGCAAAGTCAGTGCCGCGATTCGCTATTTCGCTGGAGGAGCTGTTTATGACATTGGAGTTGTCCACGGAATAGGCCATACTGATGTCTACCGCAGCATCTGGAAGGTTGTTGATGCAGTTAATGAGTGCCCAGAGTTGGACTTTTCGTATCCGTCCGAACACGCAGAACAGCAGAAGATTGCGGACAACTTCAAGACAGTCAGCCGCGGAGTTTTCGACTGCTGCGGTGGAGCCGTGGATGGCATCTTGATCTGGACTGAAAGGCCAAGCGAAGAAAGCTGTGAGATTGCAGAATGCGGACCGAAGAAATTCTTCTGTGGGCGGAAGAAGAAGTTTGGGTTGAACATGCAAGGAACTTGTGATGCTTACCGCAGGTTCCTGGATATTTATGTGAAGCATCCAGGTTCGACATCTGACTATCTGGCATGGACATCATCTCCTCTCTACCACAACATCGAGCGAGAAGGATTTATGAAAAAGGGGATCTGTCTTTTCGGCGACAATGCGTACGTCAACACACCAACCATGGCCACCCCGTACAAGGCAGTGGGCTCTGGAACCAAGGATTCGTACAACTACTTCCATTCAAATGTGCGAATTGTAATTGAGTGCGCCTTTGGAATGCTTGTTCGACGTTGGGGTCTCTTGATGCGTGCCTTCCCAACAGCTCTCACCATCGCCAAAGTAACTGCCATCGTGCGCTGTTTGTGCCGACTCCACAATTTCTGCATCAACGAGCGATTGGAGAGGCAGGCAACATTGTCGCAAGTAGATTCTCCTTCCGAAGAGTGCACAGAAGAAGTGGCCGAACGTCTTGCCAGTGATGAGATGAACATTGTGGTCGGCGAAGGAGGGATGTACCTGGATACCAACCGCGATGACTTCAGACCTGATGCGCTCCTTGGTGGTGGCCACCATTTTGATGATATTTCCTATTGGAGTAGAGTGAATCGAAAGAACAAAAATGGCGATATGCTGCCGAGGGAAGTCATGCACGAAACAATCCAACGCCTTGGTTTGAAGCGAACCACACCCAGACATTGGGTTGGAAAGACACCTGCTCGCTCTTATCAGACTTAGTCGCTAGAGATAATCATTACTTAGCACATGAGCCCAGCGTTATATTACCTGAAGACAACATTGACCGGCCAGGTGCAAAATCGGTACTTGCTCGTGCTGGAACTATCATCAACGCATCGCCGAATTCTTGAGAGAGGACCAACAGTTTGCGATGGACTTTTCTTGACGGACATCGACCAAAGGAGAGAAGTTGGTTGGTGGATGCTAAGTCTACAGTTCTAATCTCTTAAGTCCAGTAGGTTTCTGGAAACGTTTCAAACTATCATTTTATCACCGGAGAGTGCAAAGAATGCTCCTATTCGACAGCAGCACGCACATCTTTGCCACTCACCACAACACCACAAACAAGTATTTTCGAAATAAGGACCACCGACAATGGGATTGACTAGTAGCCAATAGACGCAGAAGCTGCCGCGATCTCGTCATCAACATCCTCATCCTCGTCGCCAACGTCACTGTCTTCATCGCCGCTTTCGATCAATCCACGAGGCAACTCGACTTGGCAGAACAACCTTCTCTCCTTTCTCTTTTTGGGCTAATGGCATCCATTTTATCCTCAAAGTCTAACGCGTCGAGACCTTCCTGGATGGCGGTGACATTTGCTTCGAGCATACGAATGCGTCCCATGTAGAGTTCACTCAAGGTAGCACTCTTGGTCTTCATCACTTTGAGTTGGGACTCGAAAAGCTTTTCTTGCGTTTCACGTAGCTCTTTCCAGATGGCTGCACGAGACATGGAGTGAATGGCTAGGCTCATCTCGCAGGAAGAAACCAAGGGCCCTTTCATCAACCTTCCTCTTGCGAGCAGAGCTATTAACCGAGGCAGCAACCGAAGAACAGGCCTCCGAACTGGCAGCACAAGAGTCCGCGATCACACACATGACATTCTTCAAGATTTCCTGCTCGGTTAATACGCTCTGCTCGCAAGAGGGAAAAAAAAGTTTTTTGGAAAATGAAAGGGCCCTTGGTTTCTTCCGTGCGAAGATGAGCCTAGCCATGCACTCCATGTCTCGTGCAGCCATCTGGAAAGAGCTACGTGAAACGCAAGAAAAGCTTTTCGAGTCCCAACTCAAAGTGATGAAGACCAAGAGTGCTACCTTGAGTGAACTCTACATGGGACGCATTCGTATGCTCGAAGCAAATGTCACCGCCATCCAGGAAGGTCTCGACGCGTTAGACTTTGAGGATAAAATGGATGCCATTAGCCCCAAAAAGAGAAAGAAGAGGAAGGTTGTTCCTGCCCAAGTCGAGTTGCCTCGTGGATTGATCGAAAGCGGCGATGAAGACAGTGACGTTGGCGACGAGGATGAGGATGTTGATGACGAGATCGCGGCAGCTTCTGCGTCTATTGGCTACTAGTCAATCCCATTGTCGGTGGTCCTTATTTCGAAAATACTTGTTTGTGGTGTTTGTGGTGAGTGGCAAAGATGTGCGTGCTGCTGTCGAATAGGAGCATTCTTTGCACTCTCCGGTGATAAAATGATAGTTTGAAACGTTTCCAGAAACCTACTGGACTTAAGAGATTAGAACTGTAGACTTAGCATCCACCAACCAACTTCTCTCCTTTGGTCGATGTCCGTCAAGAAAAGTCCATCGCAAACTGTTGGTCCTCTCTCAAGAATTCGGCGATGCGTTGATGATAGTTCCAGCACGAGCAAGTACCGATTTTGCACCTGGCCGGTCAATGTTGTCTTCAGGTAATATAACGCTGGGCTCATGTGCTAAGTAATGATTATCTCTAGCGACTAAGTCTGATAAGAGCGAGCAGGTGTCCCCCTTTTCCAACCAAATGTCTGGTGTGGTTCGCTTCAAACCAAGGCGTTGGATTGTTTCGTGCATGACTTCCCTCGGCAGCATATCGCCATTTTTGTTCTTTCGATTCACTCTACTCCAATAGGAAATATCATCAAAATGGTGGCCACCACAAGGAGCGCATCAGGTCTGAAGTCATCGCGGTTGGTATCCAGGTACATCCCTCCTTCGCCGACCACAATGTTCATCTCATCACTGGCAAGACGTTCGGCCACTTCTTGTGTGCACTCTTCGGAAGGAGAATCTACTTGCGACAATGTTGCCTGCCTCTCCAATCGCTCGTTGATGCAGAAATTGTGGAGTCGGCACAAACAGCGCACGATGGCAGTTACTTTGGCGATGGTGAGAGCTGTTGGGAAGGCACGCATCAAGAGACCCCAACGTCGAACAAGCATTCCAAAGGCGCGCACTCATTACACATTCGCACATTTGATGGAAGTAGTTCTGTACGAATTCCTTGGTCCAGAGCCACTGCCTTGTACGGGGTGGCCATGGTTGGTGTGTTGACGTACGCATTGTCGCCGAAAAGACAGATCCCCTTTTTCATAAATCCTTCTCGCTCGATGTTGTGGTAGAGAGGAGATGATGTCCATGCCAGATAGTCAGATGTCGAACCTGGATGCTTCACATAAATATCCAGGAACCTGCGGTAAGCATCACAAGTTCCTTGCATGTTCAACCCAAACTTCTTCTTCCGCCCACAGAAGAATTTCTTCGGTCCGCATTCTGCAATCTCACAGCTTTCTTCGCTTGGCCTTTCAGTCCAGATCAAGATGCCATCCACGGCTCCACCGCAGCAGTCGAAAACTCCGCGGCTGACTGTCTTGAAGTTGTCCGCAATCTTCTGCTGTTCTGCGTGTTCGGACGGATACGAAAAGTCCAACTCTGGGCACTCATTAACTGCATCAACAACCTTCCAGATGCTGCGGTAGACATCAGTATGGCCTATTCCGTGGACAACTCCAATGTCATAAACAGCTCCTCCAGCGAAATAGCGAATCGCGGCACTGACTTTGCTCGGCAATGGAATCAGGCCGTTCTTGGCACCACTCTTCCATGACTTTCTCTTCTTGCTTGGTTCAAGGAATGGCTTCAACAAGCGAACAAGCTTCCAGAAGGAAGCAGGTTCCATCCGGTAAGCACGCCTCACATAATGTGGTCCCAATTCATTGAAGATGTCATTCACATACTTCCTCTTCCTGTTCTGATGAGGCCTGCCTCCTCCTCGAGCATCCCCATCCCCTCCTGTTGCGAACAAGGATGGATCAGAGACCGACAGCAAGGCCACGGCGGCTTGAGCAAAGCTGCTTGGCTCCTGAAGTGGATGGTCCCTACCTCCGGAAGCCAGAGGTAGCAAGAGGGAGGCAAAAAGAATCAAGCAACAGAGGAACATTGTCTTGTCTCACTTTGGTCTAATTGGTTATCGACTTCTATGACAATGAGGATGCTGACAACAATCAACCTCATTATTACGCCGTTGGTGTTGGATATGGCATTGGAGATCATTGGATTTCCATTGGCACGTGGCACCTGGTGGGAGTCACATTTTCCGATTTGGCAACTGACTAGTTGAAACTCGGCTTGGGTGATCCCTTTTGGGGCCTCATGGGAATGGCCTCCGAATGACCCATTCTACGATTGCAAAAAAGTAGTTGAAACTGAGCCTTAGGGGCTGCAAAATCGCCATTTCGGCGTGCTTGGTTGTTCCCACGCTGAACGCACGCCTGCATGGTTGACGACGCCACATGCACAGTGGGGTCCAGTTCAAATCGGTCATTGTCCTGTGAATGAAAAGGAGAGTGTACTTAACTGCGCTTTCCTGGGTCTCAGTGTCCTTAGGTGCGGGAATGAGACCCTCACAACTCCTGCGCTCCCCCATAAAAATTCCGTTCATCAGTGCCGAGCGAACTAACAAATTCTCGGCAATGGCCAAAAGCCGTGACCGACTATCTGAAAACTTCATTAACAAACATCAAACTTCGTCTGTTTTTTTTTTACACAACACACTACGACAACCCTGCTATAGCGCGGACTCTACGGTTCTTGGTTCAAGAGACACGGCAAAAAGTTTCGGTGCCACGACGACGATATCTTTTCGCTGTTGTTGGTTATTTTCGCTGTTTGGACCTTTTGGGACAAGACCTTCGGATCTTTCAAGTTGCTAACGCTGTTATCGCAAGCGATTGATAAAGAGAAGCGATACGATTGGGTTTCGCCATTGTCGTCGATTGATTTGGATCTTGTCGACTGTACACGATTGAATCCCGCCACGACGATTGCTTTCAGATATCAAGATGGAACCATCAAGCAAGAAGCACATGACATCTAATGATGCTCCATCCCCTGTGGGTGTGGAGGACGGTAGTGACCTTCAGCAAACTGGTCCAGCTGCGGTTGAAGCCGTTGCCGGTTCTGGGGGCCGTGCTCAAGTTCTCGACGCTGCTGCCTTGGAGGAAGTGTGGTCACCAGACCGGGAAACCCGTGTAACTGCTGGGCTGAAGAAGGTTAATGGTGCGGCGGACACTTACTTGCGGGGCGGCGATTGGGTCTTGAACCAAGATGGAGGCGGCTGTACCTTGAGTTTCGTCATTAAGAGCGGAGATCGACTCTACGGGCTCACTGTTGGGCATCTCGCCAATGTGGGTGGTCCGATCTTTGTCTTTGCGGAGGCCGACACGGAGCAGAGCCCTCTTCCATGTGGGGAAGAGCCCGGTAGCGCTGGGTATTCGTACCCTATGTTTGAGGTTGGAACTGTTGTTTCAAAGTCCTTGGCAACAGATTCTTTGATCTTTGAGATTGCGACTGACGAATCTTCTAATTGTCGTAAATATCGAGGAACCTCTTTCTTTTGTTGTTGTTCTTTTATTATTCTGATTGTAGGCTTCTCTTTTTTTTTGTTGCTTTTTGGGCCCTTCTGTCCTTTTCTTTCTCTTTCAATCCAGCGGTCGCTCCCACGCGCCCCGCTGTTGGAGACACCCTCGTTGGCTTCGGAGCTCAGCGCCGTGGGGCCATTGCGAAAGTGTCTAATCCAAGTGAGGTGCGAAATGGAACATTTTCCCGAATCGGAAACATTGCCATTGTGCACCCCCAAGACCCAGCCAAGGCGTTGACGGACTGTGGGGATTGCGGTACTATTTTTGTCGATCTTCATGGAACCCCACTGTACTTTCACCACTGTGCTGATAGGACCACCCCCCGTCGTTCTTACGGCTTCCCTCTTGCAGAGGTGATGGCTGCTCACGCCCCCTACTTCGAGGACAAGGCCCCAGCAGCAGCAGCTCTGCGTTGAGGAACCACCCTGTGGTCCTGAAATCCAGGCCGCGGGATCGGAGGTGCAGGCCACCTCGACCGAAACCCAGGCTTCTGGGTTGGCGTACTTCGATACGCACATTGTGCCAAATCCTATGCGTCCCCAGAGCAACAGCTTGGCCCACTTCAATACCAAGGTTGTTGTGCCCACTCCCGAGCGGAAGCGAGCTCCCAAGCGCAGTCGAGCCCTGAAGAAGTAAGAAAGGGACCAATCCCTACTGGGGATTTGGTTCTTTCCGCTCTTCACCCGCCAGTCTCGCCTTAAGTGCCATCTCGCCTCTAAACCAGCGGAGACGTGTTCCTGTATGAACACATCTTAGTCAATGAGGCCGCCATGCGTGTAAAGTGTTTCACATGTATTACATAGGGGCTAAATAATTACTTAAGGACTACTTAGGATGGAGGTCGTGGGGTACGGTGTTCGTCCTGGGCGTTCAAATCGGTTTCCAGATTACCTGTGTAAAATCCTACGGTACCTATCACTGGTCCTACTGGTTTATGGTTTATGTAGAAAAAATGAACGTCCGTGCGAGATGCAATGGCGTGCGCGTGCTTCATCCTTGTGGCAGCTTTCTTCGTTTGGGAAACTTGGATGACGCCGACAACCAACACAACCTTCAACCGAGGCTCGTGTTGTGGTGGCTCCTTGCTCTGTGCTGGCGGCTGTCTGACTGTCTGATGACTCTGATAGCCAATGAACGGCTGAATCAGCGGCATGGTGCTTCTACTGGAGCTCTTCTAGCTTCCAGCCACGGTAGTTTCTTCGTTTCTTCAACCAAGGAGCTTTCTTTGTTGCGCAGCTGTTGCATCGCACCGTCAGATTGGCAGCTGGCACAGCCTTGCAGTTTCTCAATGCCTGCTTGGCCAAGCGATGCTTCATCCCCACGCGCTCCAACTGGCAATAGGGTCTAGTACGGTAGACGTGAAGGAGCTGGCGGTCCGATGCAGTGATGACCAGAACACAGAAACGTTTTTTCCTGCGACCAGAATTGCCACGGATCGTATCAAACAAACCAGAAACGATCCCGACTGCTTGAAACAGGGTGGTCTCAACTACTAGCTAGACTAACTGCCCTTACAGAGGTGATGCTACGATGCTACTGGTAAAGACGAAGGAAAGATGCACCGGTTCGGAGCGATTGGGGCACTGCAACGATCATGTGGCAGTATGATGGTGCATGTTGTCTAAGCTGATATGCGTGGTCTAGATTCTAGATAGGGCGGGGGTTGTTGAAGTGCAACCAAAGCGTTGGGGATGCGGGCACTTCGTTCGGCTGACTCCAAGATTGATACTAGTACTGCCTTGAGCTCTGGCATCTTATCGTTTGGCCTCCATACTTCTTGATCCTTCTCTTTGCCTTTTTTTGTCATGCGGATCTTTGTCCCTTGACACCTCTCAGTTTTCGGGTTTTCCTTGCCGTCTCATCCAGTTGCCGCACTTTGGGAGGACCCTTCTCGTCGGTAACACAGTCCCATAACGGAATCAACAGGCTTGCAGTAGACCCCCACGGGTCTTTGGGATCCCAATCCGGCAGAAATGTGTTGGCTGTTGCGTCCAAAACATTGTCTCCGAGATCGTCCACCTTATTGTCTCCACAGAGACCCACTAACGTAAGGACTGTGGTATCGACATTGAACGCGTTGGCAGGTGCCAACAAGAGCAGGAAAAAGACATTTGCTATAAGATTGGATCGCTTCATACTGTAGCTAGCTGGTAGTATAGTAGTAGTTGCCGCACTTCACACTTCGTTTGTCGGTGGACTCTTTGTGTCTCTTGATTGTTGGAGCCAAGTGTCTTTCTAATGGATAGGCACTTGGCAACTCTTGAAGTTTGCTTTCCGTGCCATCTGTTGCCGTTGCGTACCGTACCGCAACGTTTGGCATTGGCGTGCAGCTCAAAATTTCTAGGCAGTGTGAGTTTGGCGACACAGCACACACATCTCAACGACGCAACGGAAGAAGATACATTGGCTTTGCAAAAAGCAATGCTGTTGACGTGTCTTGTGGTTCCTGGACTACTACTACGGTACCACCGGTACTGTCTCGGATTCCTTGTTTCGTTTGGGATGCGGTCTCGGATTCCTCGTTTGGTTTGGAAAGCACCTCCGTAAAGTAGACCACCGCGGTACCTGTCTGTGACTGCAGAGAAATCTCTGCTTGCTCAACCAGCCACCATGAACGGATTTGGGATCTTGCACCTTTTGCCAACCAAAAGAAACTGAATGATTAATCGAATCTTCTGTGCAATGTACCAAGCAAAAAGGCTTGTAGTTGCCCCGGCTAGTACAAGAACTAAGCAGATTGCTGCTCTTGTTGCCGCCCTGCATTCGTCATGCCGTGTTCTCAGAACTGTTACATGCAGTTGTCGCCTGCCAATCAAACCGGTACA